ATATGAGAGGTTATTAAATACTTTATAAAACACTATAGCAAAAATATTTTAAATAACCAACATTTTCAAATTATTGACGATCTCCTAGGACGTAGAGAGTTTATAATTTTGCGGTGCCTGTCCATCTGTCCCGAGATCTGTTCATTTTGCATTTGGATTCTTTATCAGAGTTATAAATCAGAGTTCGTGAATCGGCAATGTACGTAAAAAATAAAGAAGGCCCTTTTGACATCTCCGTTAGTTATAAACCGAATTGCATGAAATTCAATATGGGCATAGTCGAGGGCATAGTTTTAGCCATATAATACGCAATGCAAAAGTTGGGCCTAATCAATTCTACATTCACAGTGCCCTTTTTGAATTGCAAACTTTTTTATTTATGAAAGTATTTAAATAAAATTTGATACATAGGCACTTGGAATAAAAGCAAATCTAACACCGGGTTCAAAATTTGGTTTTTCACATGCTATAGCCACTACCTATAGTAGTATCTCGAGTAGTTTTAAATGGCATTAAATGTAAATTAATTACATTAACTTAGCGTTAACCACATTAAATTACATTAACTGAATTAACTTGAAATTAACTGCATTTACAGAACATATTAACTACATTAAAAGTTAATTTTAATTCATTAACTACTATTTGTACACCGAATTAACTAGGTGGTTTACCCCTTCGTTCCCGCCGATACAGTGCAGCGGCTCCACTTGCTACACTCAAATTGTTTATTTACCGCCCGCCAAGATACAGACTTTATTTACAAAAAATATGATTTCATTTTTTGGGGTAATGTTCAGAAGTAACTTATCTAGAAAACTGTCGGTTTACTTTTTCCATAAATCGTCTTGATCGAGAGTAAAACAATAAAACAGGTTAGCGCAATACCTAATCGCTGCAAAATATCTAATCCTTAAACAGCCGGTATTCAGTTGCTATAAACTTTTTTAAAAAAATATTTCGAACATTTTGTAGATAAAGGTCTAAACTTATAAAATATAAAATTTATATATTAATATAAAATTTTATTTTTCAAAAACAACTTGAGTTTTTTAGGCGGACGCTCTTATGGAAATTTACATTGGGTGCAGTGGGTACAGAACGGCGTAGAGTTGCATCTTCTCATGATGCTGTTGCCGGGGACATTTTGTACCATACATATTGTCTGGCAAATGCGATAAGAGATACTGAAAAATCGAATGGTCAGACTAGTCCTCCTAAAAACTTGGCTTTAAATAAATTATGCTATGAACTAAAAGTGCACAAATATCTACAAGTGTCTTGGCGACTGCTTCAATCGTAAAAAAATGAGCAGAATGATGAAGAAATTTAAGTTCCGTTAAAATTTTTGAACGAAATATAGGTAATACATTTGCCGTCAGAATTATCTCTATATTGTTACCGTGTTGTCTGTATAATGTACCCAATATATAAGTTTTGCAATTTTCTGTGCCTCCTGTATGCTTTTTTAACACCTCAATCCGAAAAACTATGTAAAATGCGTTTGGCATAAAAATTTATATATTTGGCCGCCATATTGGCCGCCATTTTGAAATTAGCCAAAAATCAGCTTGGCAACATCCGAATTCGGGTTCAGCAGACATTTTTACTCTTATAAATTGCCGTTTCCAAAATGGCTCATTAAATGCCGTTAGACTTGCGATTTATTAACTATGGCCACACAACTATTTGGTGGAACAAGTAAAACGGTCGATTATCGGCGAAAAGATCTACAAGTATCGAAATATGTTTTATAACAAAATGTTTGTGAGATTGGTTCAATGTCTACTAGGCAGTAATATTTAAATTTATTACAGTGTTACTCATAAGGCCGCACACCTAAAATTCCATTTTTTTGAATGAATAATGTTTCAAAAATTTTTCTCTAAATTTTAAGCAAAATTTGTAAAAGCATAATGTACTAAACCAATCGTTTTCAAACTCGAAAACCCGAAAAACGATTGCATTTGAGGGGAGGTACATTATGCTTTTTACGAATTATGCTCCAAAATTGACAGAAAAATTGAAATATTAGAATAATATACAGAGTGTGCATTAAAAAAAAATGCAATATTAGTGTGCTACGTCTTTATGACCGATCGGCGATCCTGTATAATTAAAATTACTACTGCCTAGTAGACATTAAAGAACCTCAAATATTTTATATAACTTTTTTAATACCTTGTATATTTTCCCCAATAATCCACCGTTTCCAACTTATCAGTGGCCCTGTATACATAAGTGCTAAGGGTACTAAACGTGTTGGGAAGCGTGTGTAATACACTCCAGTATACGACGGCATTATAATAGTTTCAGGAAAAGATACAATGTTCATTTCCATACAATTAACACTTAATCTGCGTGTACGATACCCCGCCCCTCCCCCCTTCTATATCCTTTTCCAATACGTTTTGTGCACTTAGCACTTACGCCACAATTTTTCACAAGGGACTATCGAACGTAAAACTAGGAGCCTTTCTGGTTCGGAATACTCGTTATGAAAGGAAGATTGGAGAGCTCTAATGCCGCGTTTACACGAGACCCGTAAGTGGGCCAATAGCTGGACTCCAGTGTATATTTGACTTGTTCCAACGCGAATTTAATGCATATGACAGCATAACTCAAAACCTACCACGAGTTGGAACGGCCACCCAATTTTTTTGGAAGTCGTAATGGTCCTCTTCAAGAAAGAAATGGGTGATGCCCTATACACCACACTGCATATAGGGTTCTGGTCAGGACTACATGCGATTTTGACCAAAAGTGTGCCAGAACTCTTGTTGCTCCTCTATACTCATTTCTTTAGTATATCGCGCACAATCCATTTCCACGGGCCCCCGTATAGCTCCGTAGGACAGTTTCGTTCTTATGTTTCTTGATTCACTTTCGGGTTAGTGAATTACATATAGGTACTTATAAGATAATAGACAAGGTAATATCAATTCTAATCAATTTTTGAAACACTATTGACAGTTTACATAACACAAGCAACTAAGTAAACGATGAGTAAAATCGTTTTTGGAATAGCACTCATTATCTTAACCCAGCGCATTTTAGCAACTCCAACATACAAGGAGTATTGGTAGTAGATAGGTTACACATACACTTTCTAAAATTAACCAACTTAGTCGCATTTACACAATTATAATCGAAATAAGCTCCATCTGATACATCGCCGCTAGCTAGACACCTGTTGAAAAGATCACCAGGACAAGTTAGATCGACATTCTGACAGGCACATTTCTGTAGCCAGTACAAACCGTTTGAAGTCGAACAACGTTGCTGAAATCTAGACATAACTTGTGTGGATCTCATAATCTTCGGTCGGATTGGTGGCCTCGAGCATTTTCCGCAAGGATCATCTAGACAGTTGATTTACTTCGCGAAATTACAGTGTCCCCACTTACCTTCTCCCTTACTCCCGGCAAGCAGGAAAGCAAGAAGGAGCAGACAGCATGGAAAACTCTTCATTCTGGTTTGACTGTGTGTATACAGAAGCTGGTTACGTGCGTTCGAGCTTATATCGTCAACAGAATCATCAACGTTCTGTTATTTACTTTTTTCGAGATAGCGTTTTGCGCTGTGAAATGTTTGCTAAAGAAATATTTATGTTTTTATAATAGATCACTTTGACAACTCACAAACGAGCTTTTTACAGAAAAGACAACTTCATCGGTTGCAATATCGCCACTTTTTGTTCGTGCCTATATGAATGTATCTCTGGGGGTAAAACGAGTTCTGTGCAAATGAAGACGTCGAGGAACACGTGCGTAATTGGCGTCTATAACAAGGCGAAATCCACACTATTCCTAGTCTATTAATTGCACCTATTGATTGCGCCACTGCTCATCTGCACATATCCCACTCTCGCCTACTTAGTACTTAGCTGCGTTCTTGTATATGTATCTATAAAATATAATTGGAAAGTTGTTCAGAGACGGCCAAGGATGCTATATAATATAAGGATTGCTCGATCACTGAATTTTTTCGCCGCGTGTAGTGACGTCACTGGCGGACCCAGACGCACCGCATGGTTTGATTTTTCGATTTGTGTACCACTCTTTCATTTGTATTTTATATTATGTAAGATTCTATATGTGGCCTGTAGAATCCATAATTTCAAACAGTTCCAAGATTGGGCTACTAGTTGAAAAGTTACAGCTCTTTGAATTTTCTTTCGAAATTGGTTTCTAGTCCATAACTTTTGATTGAGAAGTCTGATCGAAAAAGTACAAATTGTTTTGGATTCTACGCACCAAAATTAATAAGAAAAAGTGTCTTCCCGAGAAATTTTGGTGCAGTCGATTTTTTTGTAAAAAAGGAAGGTTGTAGGTACACTGCCTTTTTTTGGGCCCCGAAAAAAAAATTGTTGGATGTTATAGGTAGGTATTTAAATTAGAAACACTTGTCATTCCTCGTCTACAAGTCTACAAATTCTCCTTCGGTTTTTCGCATACTCAAATGTCGTGAACCCATTTCATCCTGCGTTTTTGGTTTCTTTGCTCTTCATTATCCATGGAAATTGCAGCTAAATCAGTTCATTTAAACTGTGTCCATCTTAAAATAACGATTTCTCGAAGTTTTTGACACTGACTAAAATGAGCACCAGTTGAGTGTAAAATGTGAATACTACCCCGAATTGATATTACAGTCCAATGCACGTGGGCAAATTGATTGAGCCGCGCGAGAACCCGCGTCGCATCGTGAGAGGAATTCAGATTAAGCCGTTGGACAATTCGCGTTGAGCCCCGAGAACTAAAAAAGAATTCGCGCCGAGAAAATCAGTGTGAAGCAGGAATGATCGTTGAGGTCTGTGCTAAAAATCTTCGCCTTCCCGCCTCGTCATACCCCAACCAATCCCTTTCTACGGACCTCCGGAACTTCACGGTTCTCATATTTCAAGTCAGTTAGCAAACGGTTTTCAATCCCAATCAATTTATTTATACACTGTGCTTTAATTGTATCAATAGAGCACATAATATACAAAGTAACATGGTAGATTACTTAAATTTATAAAAACAAAATTGGTACACCTTCCTGAGCGCATTTTAGGAAATGCGATTGACAACTTTCAGCTGACATGATACATATGCAATACCTGAGATGATGCAACTCAGTGGCATTTAGACAGTTAAAATTAAAGCGAATCAATGAACCAGGAAGAATTGGACCGTCGAGCAGTTGACACTTATTAAAAACGTCACCAATGCAAGTTAGGTCGATGTCTCCGCACAAGCATTCCTTCAATTCCTCCAAACCGTTTGGCTTGAGACAAAGTTCCCGAAAGCTGGACACAATCTTCGCTGATCCTCTCATCGTTAGCAGATTCGGACAACTTCCGCAAGGTGCATCTACAAAACTGATGAGCTTTGCGACGTCGCAGCTGAATACACACCTTCTCCACTACCCCGAGCAAGCAAGAAGGCAAAGAGGAATAGACAGTATGCCAAGTTCTTCATTATCCTGATAAGTACTGAAGCTGTTTCTGTTAGTTCGGTCACTGGCACCTGATATGGTAGTATTCCAAATTTCGTTACCATAGCGTGATCTCGTTTGTTTAGAAAATATTTACATTTTTTAGGTAGGTAGCTCCAAAAATTGACAACTGCAAAGGCAGAGTAATAGAAAGTGAAAAGAACGACACTGACCTAGCAAGTAAAATAATAACAGTAACAGAAGATGACAATTAATTATCTATAGATTCCTATTAAGAAAACGTAATAGTATAATCTTGTTTATCTTTACTAACTGTAATGTTGTTTTATGGTGATATTTTTAAAAAAATCTGTTTGCTTTACTGTATAATCTCCATCATAAACTGCGTTTACCCCAAAATCCCATACTAGAGTTGTACGTAAGTCTCTTACTTAACCCTCATAACTCCTGTCATAATAAGATTCAATCATTTATCCTGCACCAAAACACTAAAACATCGCCTACGGTGCCAGCATTTGCACCATCTCTGATGGCCTTGCAAAAGTTCAAGTACCCTTCACAACAACGTTGGAGAGTAAGCCTTGAACTCGCCCTCTGGTACTACAATTTGCAAGATTCAAATCGGGGACAAGTCATAATCGGCAAAGTCTTGTCAAATCACAAACACCCTTCGTCCCCATTGGTCGCTGTATAATCGCCTTCTACGACACGCAGTGCCCTCTGCAGTAAGGTGATTTATTCCTGTTTTCTAAACAATAAATCCGCAAAATATTGCGTCATTCAAGGACTACCACCCCAAAAACCTATACTAGACGCATGTTTGAATTTATTGACATTGGAACGGTGAACTAAAAAGAACAAGAAGCAAAAATCACAAATAGCTTTAGTCAAGTTTATAGTGTTGGAAATGGGAACTGTGTTATGTGTAATGTCTGGTTTTATATGCGACTAGTGTTCTATCCCAATATAATTTATGTATGCTGTTTTCAAGTATTATCTGTGGAGTGTATTTGTAGTATGGTGGATGGACCTTCGATTGTGATTGAAGTTCGTAAGCTGTTTTATTTCGCTGTACCAGTCGGTAAAGTTACACACCTTCCAATAGTGTACTTAGTACGTGTGTAAGAATTTTAATCACTGACAAGGTTCTGTTAAAGATCAGGATTCTGCACCTGTACCCGATGGAAGAGGTGGAAACAACCGAAGGTATCTGAGTGAGGACCTTTAAAAATACAGATACCAGTAATTTTATCTACTACATCTGCCTAGCTCGACAAACATTCTTAATTGAAGGGATTACTTTTTCCGAGAGGCCGTAGATTACATTCGGTTAATGGATTAATTTCATTTTGTATCTAAATTAGAAGGGGGTACTAACGTAGATCTTCATGTACAGCCAAAGATGATAATTCAGCATCCATTTGCTTTATTCTTCTTATTATTGCTATCGAAAAGTCGTGCTTCTGAAGGAGGTGAGTGTGAAAGATTTAGCCTTGATAAGCTCACCACCTTTGTAGGAACATCGTGCTCTACAGGGTGTACTAAAGGACAGTTGGACCAAACCATCGAATTTATCCCCGACTTTCATCACGTATGCGTTAATCCTCAACGTTTACGTGCCATGAAGACTTGCCTATGTGAAAATGGGACCAGTCAGTGCGTTGGCGATCTCTTTAATGACTGCTCAAGTCAGTCAGAAGTGAATTTCAACTGCTTGAGCGATGCCTATTTGACGCAGTTTAAAAACTGCTTGTGTGACTTGCCTTACGAGAATTGCCCAATGATATTTTTTGATAGATGCGTTCCATTAATTCCCAATGTCGGATAAATGTCCTGGTCGGAGGTATTTCGGCGTTTTATTAGTGTATATTTATTTACCAATATATAGTTCATCGACCATTTACTTACCTCGCCCTGTGCTTTATTTTGCTTTTCTATTTGGCTTGTCTGCCTGTGGATAGTCGTTTCCGAGAAATTTAGTAGCAGAACAAAGTACATCTCAGCTCCAATCCACTTCACAATTGTCGTAGAGAGCGGATCCAGTTTTAAACTAATTCAGTAATTTATATCTGAAAATATTTCGATCGGTTTTAGAAATTCGCGTTGCACTCCCTTCCAGTTTTTCTAAGAAAACAGTATTGGTGTAATACAATTTCTATGCCCATAAATTGTCATAATGTTTATATAGGTCATGCGTGCGCGGAATTCGGTTATGCGATTAAAGCAATAACAGATTTAATTTCGAGCGTGTTTTTAACTTACAAGAAACTTGATTGTAAAGTTAGTAAAAATGTGCAATATTGTTAGGTCGAATCAAGTTCGAATCTCACAATACTGCGAGGTAATATCTTTTCATTTGTCACTCATTAATTGCGTTAAATTTATAAGAATTTGCATGTTACTTGACTTGACTTAATTATAAGTAGGTTACCACGATTATGCGTTACGCTCATGTTCGTTACTTTGTTTTAACAAAAATGTAACAATGTATGTCCGATACGCCACTGGAATAATACATATATGATCATATTATTTATTATTCTGCTGGAAATCTTCAGTCTTACTACTGTCCAAAACGGACCCTGTGCATAATACTCTCTACAACAATCACATCCACTTACATAATTCTGGGTGTCTCCTGTACGTTCTCTTCTTTACGATTTAAATACATAACCTCAATTTTTTAATTCTTTAAAAATGTAACGTGCCCTACGTAATTTCGTCATTTTTAAACACTTCAGACACCCACAATCATGTTTTTCAATAAAACCTCTTCCACAAACATTAAACGCTTAATCACTTTTCACAACTGTCTCTCATATAACATAAATCCTCCCCCAGAAAGTGGTCCACCACCTAGAAATGCTCGTGTTGTTATTGCCGGTGGTGGCGTCATGGGAGCTTCAGTCGCCTATCACATCGCCAAACTGGGCTGGGCAAAGGACACGGTCCTACTGGACCAGAACAAGTAACCCCTCCGGTCGCACGCGAACACCTTGACTTTATTCCGCTTTCAGAATAGGAGGAGGTACCACCTGGAACTCCTCGGGGCTTCTGGGTATCTTCAAACCGAGTTACTCGCAAGTGAAATTGTCGCAGACCAGCAAGAAGCTGTACCAGGAGTTGGAGGCGAGAGGACTGTCGACGGGCTGGAAAGAGTGCGGAAGTTTGAATTTGGCCAAAACTAAGGATCGTATGATAGTTTTTCGTCGTATGATCGCGCAATCGGTGTACGTATTCTTTCGATTCTCGGTGGGTCTTAATTTTGGCAATTTCAGACTGTGGGATATTAAGTGCGAGCTGCTAACTCCGATACAATGCAAGGAGAAGTGTCCGCTCTTGAATGTGGACGATCTGGAAGGCGGATTGTGGATACCGGGAGATGGGGTCGGCGATCCTTATCAGATTTGTAATGCGCTTACGGAGGAAGCGAGACGGATGGGTGAGATTTCTTACTTGTTTGACGATTGTAGCTAAATGTTTGAGTAGGTGTAACTGTAATTGAGCATTGCGCACTGAGAAAAGTTAACCAGACGAATGGGAAGGTGTGCGGTGTGGAAACGGAATTGGGGCCTATTGACTGTGATTTTTTTGTTAATTGTGCCGGGTTTTGGGCTAGGGGTGTAGGTCGCCTATCCGAACCCTGTGTTAAGGTGCCCATCCATGCTTGTGAACATTACTATTTACATACAAAACCAATGTCCCAACTGCAGCAACTACAAACTATGTTTCCAGGTGAGTAATTTCCTTGGTCCTTTTTCACCAAGGTGGTTTGTTGGTGCCAAAACTAAAGTATTGGATTGAAATTCAGCCCACTTCCACTTGTATTATGGTGTAACTAGTGCTTTACAGGAACACATAGGCAACCAACACGACAATGAGCATTTGACTTTTATACAGGATGTTGAAAAAATTCTATTGCTGACGGACTTCAACTTTTCTTAATGACTTGACTTTTTTTAAATTAGGCATTTCAAAAAAGTCAACCTTTTATCAATGAAATCCGGTAAATCCAGAAAAAATAGTCCAATTTAGGTTCTAAGGGCGGTGGAAATAAATAATACATCTTTTTGAAAATATATCAACTTTTACTGATGAAATCTGATGAATCCAGTTAAATTAGCTGAAGATCACAGTTGCAATTAGTTATATTTGTACATCAACCTTTGCTAATGACTTTTGTAAAATAATGTATTTCAAAAAAGTCAAATTTTACCGATGAATCTAATATAAATCCAGTCAAATTAGTCGAAAGATAACAAAATGTGGTTTTTTTGTTAAATTTTTTAGATTAGGGTTCTATTGTTGACGTACCAACTTTTCTTAATGACTTTTTTTGAAAAATTGCATTTCAAAAAAGTCAACCTTTGACCATGAAGTCGATAAATCTAATTCTGTTGGATTTTTATTGCAATTTTTTAAAGATCTATTTTTCTCAATAACTTTTTGAAACACGTATTTCAAAAAAATTAACTTTTACCCAATAAATCTAGTAAAATTAGTCGAAGGTAAAATTTTTGTTACTTCGATTGGGGTTCTATTGCCTTTTCGTAATGATTTTTGAAATTCTGCAATATAAAAAGTGAACTTTTACCGATGATATTTAAAAAATCCAGTGAAATTAGTCGAATATACTGAAATGTCACTTTTGGTTGCATTTTTTTTAAAATTGAGGTTCTACTGTTTATGGGCATGAACTTTTCTAAGAGATTTTTGAAATACTGCAATTAAAAAAAGTCAATTTTTACCATTGAAATCTAACTAAATTAGTTGAAGATCATTTCTGGTTACATTTTTTAATATTCGGATTCTACTGTTAATAATAATAGTCCAAGGTTTTATGATGGAAATAAAATTTTCTTAATGGTTTTTTTAAATAATACATCTTTTTGAAAATAAAAGATAACAAAACGTGGTTTTTTGTTATATTTTTTAGATCAGGTTTCTGTTAACTTTTCTTAATGACTTTTTTTTTAAAAATTGTATTTCAAAAAAGTCAACCTTTGACCATGAGATCGATAAATCTAATTCAGTCGAATTTTTATTGCAATTTTTTAAAGATCTACTTTTCTTAATAACTTTTTTGAAACAGTGTATTTCAAAAAAAGTCAACTTTAACCAAAGGAATCTAATAAATCTAGTTAAATTAGTTAATGGTAAAATGTCAATTTTTGTTACTTCGATTGCCTTTTGGTAATGACTTTTTTGAAATTCTGCAATACAAAAAGTGAACTTTTACCGATGAAATTTAAAAAATCCAGTGAAATTAGTCGAATATACTGAAATGTCACTTTTGGTTTTTTTTTTAAATTGAGGTTCTACTGTTTATGGGCATGAACTTTTCTAAGAGATTTTTGAAATACTGCAATTCAAAAAAGTCAATTTTTACCATTGAAATCTAACTAAATTAGTTGAAGATCATTTCTGGTTGCATTTTTTATGAATTAAAAAAAATCTGCTATTGTTTGCGCTTTGTCCGTCCGTCCGGACCCACTTCTACCGTTTTGAACTACTTCTAGGGGAATGGTCCTGGAATTTTTTGCAGTAGGTAGCCTATACCTTAAAGGTGTGCCAGCCGGCCATCAAATTTCGCTGTCTAAAAGGGGAACCCCCCCCCCCCCACGAATTATTTTCTGAGATGCCGTTTTTGAAAGTAAAACGTGCATAACTTTTACATACGACAACAACACGGCTACATACGCGGCTGTCTATTGCGCAAAAACCTAAAGGGAACTGATTCCATTTTATCAAGAGTACAAGAAGTAAGTCAACTCAAAGGTAATGCGATCGTTGTCATCGTTTCTCGGTGGTACGGAGAAAGCGTGGGGTAGTTCCGGATAATAATCTTTATCTTCTAACTTCCTCGTCAACTGGAAATACTTTCTGTAGGTGGTCTGGTACTGACGTTTGTTTCGCAAGCGTTTAGCTTCTAATTTTGGTGTAAGAAAGCCTTCTTTAAATATGTAAATTACTGCTTTCACCTACAAACCACCTAGAACATAACCGCAGGGGTATATTCAGCGTTGTTCGTACTAATAACCACAATTTGCAGTTGTCCGCGACTTAGACGGCCACATCTATTTTAGAGAATATAAGGGCAGACTGCTGGCCGGAGGATTCGAACCTGTAGCAAAACCGGCGTTCGAGGATGGAAAAATTCCAGGCAACTTATAAGAACGTATTAACGCGCGACGTTACTGTGGCGAATTTTAGGTAGCGGCGAGGAGCGTGTCCTGCCCGAGGATTGGGATCACTTCAACGTACTGCTAGAGCAGCTACTGCATCGAATACCGATGTTAAATGATACGGTATTGGATAAATTGTGTAACGGTCCCGAAGCGTTTAGTCCCGATTGCAAGTGGATCATTGGGCAGGCCCCTGAGGTAGGTGCGTGCGAGACCGGAGCGCGTGTGTTTCTATCGTATCCGATTGCAGATTATGAACTATTACATCGCTGCCGGTTTAAAAACGGTAGGGATTGCCGCGGCGGGAGGGGTCGGACAGGCAACCGCCGAGATGATTGTGAATGAAAACACGAGCTTTGATATGTACGAATTAGACATTTCACGATTTTTAAGTGTGCATAATAATAGGAAGTATTTGCGAGACCGCGTTAAGGAGGTACCAGGTTTGCACTATGCCTTACAGTATCCATTTTCAGAATTTAAGACGAGCCGGAATTTACGAATGTCCCCCATTTATCCTAAGCTAATGGAGGCAGGGGCCGTTTTCGGTCAGCTCATGGGCTACGAACGTCCGTCGTGGTTCGACCGCAATTACGTCCAAGGTATTAGCGTGATTCCCCACTCTGTTCTCTCATTTTATACCTTTTTGTAATTAGAGCAAGTGTCCTCGGACTGGTCGGTTCCCTATCGCATAGCGTCGACCGATACCTTCGGAATACCGCCCTGGTTCGATTACGTTGCGTCGGAGTATGACGCGTGCCGCGAAGGCGCAGGAATTAGCGATTATTCTTCGTTTGCTAAGCTAGACATATGGGTATGCGCTATAGACTAAGAGCTAGCTGACGATCTGAGTAACATGTTTGATACAAGGATTGCGGCTGTTTACCGTTGAGTTTCTCACCAAAAATTACAGCCACAGTTAAATGCAACTTTTCGAAATGCTTTTTTGGTAATCTTCATTTGAAAGGGATAATTTTCCGTTTAAAAAACTATTACGATAATTACGAACAATAGTGGAAGTTTAACCCACAAAGAATTAAAATCGCGTGACCTTAAGTGAAGTTAGATTTCGAAATCTGGGATACTATTGCGACTACGGATAATGGAATCCCCCTCCCCCTCTCCCTCTCAGTAAAAGGAAAATTCAATTTCCCTACAATCATCTTATCACAATACCCCAGAGTTGGATTCTCCCCCAAAACCTTTTGCCTGACCGCTCTTATTCGAGTTTTCAGTAAAACCCCATCGAACATAGCACCGGGGGGGGGGGTCTGCGGGGTATGGAATCAGGTTAAAGGAAAATTCAATTTCCCTAAAATCATTTTATTACCTACCACTATTTCATTTTATTACCTGTCGAAAGGTGTACAAACGTGTAAAAATGCTTTTTTGGTAACCTTCATTTGAAAGGAGTAATTTCTCGTTTAAAAAACTATTACGATAATTACGAACAATAGTGGAAGTTTAACCCACAAAGAATTAAAATCGCGTGTCACAAGTTACTAATAAGAACTACATTGCAGTATGGCGTAACGAAAACCCGTTAAAGGATTTTATTTTATTCCACTTTTACTTGAATTTATCGATTTTACGTGGTCCTGAAAGACGATCCTAATTTTTGCTGACAGCGGGAATTGGGTGTGAATTATAAAAGTAGTGGGAAATTTAAGTTATTGGCAGAGAGTCGTGGGGCAATGCGCGCTAAGTCACGATAGCGATTACAAACACTGCTGTTCAAATCGTCTGGCAGCTCTCCTTCCTTAACCATTCCTGACTAGTAATTAGACATTTTTAGTCCAAGGGCAATGAGGTTGTGAAAGCACTCGAATACATCTGTTCGAATGGTGTCGATATTCCAATTGGGGGGATCATTCACACGGGGATGCAGAACAAGTACGGCGGCTACGAAAACGATTGCTCGCTGGCGCGCCTCGCGGAAAACCAGTAATAACCCAATTTCCTATTTGAAATTCGTAACGTTCACGTTGCAGCTACATGATGATAGCGCCGACCATTCAGCAAACTCGCTGCCAAGTCTGGCTGCGGCGACATCTACCTCCTTCGGTCGAACTATCCGACGTCACCTCCATGTACACGGCCTTAGCCATCATGGGTCCGCTAACGAGAAGCCTTTTATCTGAACTGACCGATACCGACTTAAGCCCACGAAACTTTCCGTTCTTCACCATTAAGTTGCTAGACGTGGGGCATGTGAGCGGTATCCGCACTATGAATCTCACACATACAGGGGAGCTCGGTTACGTGCTCTACATACCCAACGAGGTTATTTCTCACGTTTTACTTCCGAAGCAGCTCACCGGTAATTTTCAGTTCGCCCTCCACGTTTACTCGCGATTAATGAAGGCCGGTGAGAAATACGGAATGAGGCACGTCGGCTATTACGCGACCAGAGCGTTGCGAATCGAGAAGTTCTACGCGTTTTGGGGACAAGATCTTGATACTCGAACGACACCTTTGGAGTGCGGGCGTACGTGGCGCGTTAAATTTGAGGTGAGCTGCCGAAGGCAAGTGCTAGTCTCTCACGCTTTGATTGTAGAAAGACTTTATAGGAAAGGAACCTCTATTGAAGCAAAGAGAGGAGGGCGTTAAACGAATGTACATTCAGCTCATATTAGATGACCACGATCACGAACTCGATCTATGGCCTTGGGGTGGCGAGCCAATATACCGTAACAACAAGCATGTCGGTATATGCACGACGACCGGATATGGATTCACATTTAAGAAACAGGTTTGGTGTTGCCTTCGGGAAACTTAACCTAAAAACTCAATTTCAGGTGTGCCTGGGTTTTGTTCAAAACATTATCGACGGTGTGCGACACATAGTTACGACAGACTTTGTTCAGTCGGGTCATTACGAAGTGGACATAGCCGGCGTGCGGTTAGTACTCCTGCCACTGATCTCCCCACGATTGTCATTTCCCTTTTAGGTACCCCGCGAAAGTAAACCTGCATTCCCCCACTTTACCTACTAAATATCCGGACCAGGAGAGGGAGGCTTACCAGGCGACGAGAGATAAAGGACGGAATTCGGTTGTCGAGGCCGTTGTGTAGTGCTTTGTAAATATTGTACGTTTTTCCGTTCTGCTACAGAATGTGCCTTGTTTTGTGTTACTTGTCAATTAGAAGAAATACAAATTTCCTAGTCCAGAAATACCAACTTTATTAATCAATGTAACCACAAACAAACAAATGATACAAGTTGGTTTTAATTATGAGCGCCAGTCATGAATTCTTTCCGCCTCTGATTCCAGAACGTTCGGAAGAAAATTAGTAGGTACACGTGATCACTGGATGAACGTTTTGTTTATTTCCGTTGTGGCGTATTTTCAAATTTAAGTGGTACAAAAAAAATTACGATTACTGCAGTAGACACCCTAAATCAAAGAGAATATTGGTTGCAATGGGCCTAATAAAAACGGTACATACATTTTTACCGCAATTGGGAAAAGAAAACTTACGTTTTACTCTGAGGGCTCGATGCGCATCGCTGCTGAGAGTAATTAGCAAAACAAACACATGTATATGACTTCAGGGGCAATCTGTATTTGGTTTTTTTTCCTCTTGGTTCCTTTTTTCCTGGCTTTTCGGTTTGGATTTGCTCCGCGGAACCAATAAGTCGCGTGCGTAATACATTTGAACGCACAAAAATTCTGAGTTGTGTTCCAATTCCCTTCCCGATTTTGTCTCATGTTTATTGTGGACATAAAAGCCCAAAGCATAGAGTAAATAATATAAAGAGGTGTCATGGGATAGGATATTGTTGCAGTATAGAAAATCTTGTAAGGAAGTGTTGCTATCTTGTGCTGTTGTTTCGCTGAGCAGCATGTAACCTGTATTACCTATTTAAATACACTGACAAACAAAGTTGAGATTTGAATTACGTCATTACTTTGCACCAGACAGAGACCATGATGCTGTCAGCATTATATTTAATCACGGGAATGTGATATATGCTTCCTATGCAAGGAGTCTTTTAATTCTTTCAGGCCATAGACCTATTTATTTTATTATTTTAACGCCTTACCTTTACCCAATTACAAACTTTATTTGAATTTAGCTAGCCATGAAAATTAAATAGGTACAGTGAGAAAATATAACTGATTATGCGTATAATTTCTAACGTTTTTGTTGGATTAGCGGTACACGTAGACCGTTTTAACACTGCTTTAGCAATTTTGTGTGGAATTTACGCAAACAAGGTCCTTTTGCGCAATTCACAAATGTGGGAGTGCTGTAAGGATAGTTTATTTGTGAGAGAAAAGATCAATTCCATCCATACTACCATTGTATATAAAGATGTATAAATATTTCCTTTTTTGCCAAAAATCGACAGCACCAAAATTTCCCGGGAAAACACTTTTTCTTATTAATTTTGGTGCGTAGAATCCAAAACAATTCGTACTTTTTCGATTAGACTTCTCAATCAAAAGTTATAGACTAGAAACCAATTTCCAAAGAAAATTCAAAGGGCTGTAACTTTTGAACTAGTAGCCCAATCTTGGAACTGTTTGAAATTATGGATTCTACAGGCCACATTCTATAAGAAAAATTTTTTTCCGGGCGATCTGAGACAATTTTTTTTTCGCGCCTCAAAAAAAGGCAGTGTATTACCTTCCTTTTTGCCAAAAATCGACTGCACCAAAATGTCTCGGGAAAACACTTTTTCTTATTAATTTTGGTGCGTAGAATCCAAAACAATTCGTACTTTTTCGATCAGACTTCTCAATCAAAAATTCTAGACTAGAAACCAATTTCGAAAAAAAATTCAAAGGGCTGTAACTTTTGAACTAGTAGCCCAATCTTGGAACTGTTTGAAATTATGGATTCTACAGGCCACATTCTATAAGAGAATTTTTTTCCGGGTCGATCTGAGACAATTTTTTTTGGGGGCCTCAAAAAAAGGCAGTGTATAACCTTCCTTTTTTGCCAAAAATCGACTGCACCAAAATTTCTCGAGAAAACACTTTTTCTTATTAATTTTGGGGCGTAGAATCCAAAACAATTCGTACTTTTTCGATCAGACTTTTCAATCAAAAGTTATAGACTAGAAACGCATTCAAAAAATACTACATTGGAACTGATTCGGCACTGGGCAGTTCCGCACAGAAAAATCAGGAAAATTCTCTCTTCGCTGACCTACTTCCTGCTTTACGAAGATTGAATTACTTTTATGACTTGAAGATAAAGCAAAAATCTACGTAGGCGTAGATGACGATCACATTACAAGGCCATTTTCACTTTTATCTTAATAGAATTTGAAGTCGGACGTTTATGATTATGTAGATTACTTCTTATGACGTATGTGATGAAATTTTTCTGAAATACTTCTCGTCAATTTTCTTAGTGTAATTTAGTCCATGGTGCTCTACACACTCTGGATTTTGTTACATGGCAAATTTACCGACTCTATGGTGTTTCTAAGCACATAGGTGACGAAAACCTCAAAATTAAACCGAATTCTATACCAAGGCGCCACAGCATTGAAATTTCTTTTTTTTTGTAATGATAATTAAGCTACAGAACAAAGCGATACAAGCTTTATAAAGGAGGTCGATGGTGTCCGTCCGTGAACACGATAGGTAACTGCCAAACGCTTGGGCAGATTTGGTTCAAACTGTGCACAGAGTTGGCCTATACTTAATACTATATATCATGTGTAATAAACTTATTAAAAACGGGCCAAATCCAAGCACCCCGTACATGCATGTATTTCTCATGTTCAAAAACATGCACACAATAAATATGAAATTTTTTTGCCTATTGTACACAATATACGAATTTGAGTTTTCATAAAATAATTGTTACGTAAATCAGTGATGTCATTTAAAACGCTATGCCGTCTTGCGATGCAAATATAGCTAAGATAATGTTCTATAATGGGCATCATCAAACGATATGCAAAACTTTATTATTAAATGACAAATTGTGGTAGGTCAAGGTAAAGACCATCTTTCGTCAATGGCAGAATAAGCAGCACATTCATTATGCAAAATGTTGCTGATAAATAAAAGTATACATTTCAGGGTCGCGTGTCGCCCACTCCATTCTCCACTTATTAACGCACAGCGAGCTGAGATAACAACATTAACAAGCAGTGTTAGTATAATAATTTAGTTCACTATTCTTGAATTCAGAGGGAGCGTCGGCATTTGTTTTTCGCCATCTATGTTCAGAGATAGTCTCTCACTGCCACAAATTTATACAGCATGGAACCTCCTTATATTATTTACTCTATGCCCAAAGGTAGGAAAAAGAAGATTGAACAGTGTTGTCAATGAAGTTCTTTACGTCCGAGGACTAAGGTACAATTTGTTTTCGATCCAATATGTCGAACTATTGGGGATGCAGTGGTGTTCCAGAAGAACAGCGCCAAAATGGCGAAGTTGTTTGCATCCGAAAACGAAAAGATAAACTAATCAATTTTTGATTTCGAGATAAGTTCCTCGTTCCAATTTTAAATTACAGATTTAGATTTGAATCAGTTCAGGGGACAGGGATTATGCATATTGGAGGTACACAGTTATTATTATTATCATTTCATCCAATAACGATATGTAAATTGATCCACAAAATTTGGCTCGTCAAAATCTGCAGAACAATACGGTGAAGGATAAGCATCTTTTTCACTTCCCCGTAAAAAGAAAAGAAATAACAAAAAATGTCAGTCTATTATCTTTACATTTTCATCATTTACAAAAAAAAACACATTTTATGTGTTAACGCTTATAAGATAATCTTCGTAATTAAACCGGCCGCAATGGTAACACCGCCAACTCGTAACATAATCCTACCTAACTCTTTGCACTCGCTATACAGCTCAATCGCCAAAGGTCTGGACGACTTTATTTCTACGGTAGCGCTCGAATTGTTGCTCAAACAGCGCGGATGTTTGTTCATAATTTCTCCGGTGCTTTTGTGCAATTGGTTGATTAATTTACAAACAATAACCGGTTCGACTAGGCTTTGATGGTGCATGACAACCGAGTATCCTTTGGTGATGGGAACAGTAACGTTAAAGACCACAATACGAGCTTGAAAGTTAGAGGCAATCTGCACCGGATTCTGAGGAAGGCAAAGTATGTACCCTATACTGACATTTTGAATATCAATTCCGGACAAGGTCACCGACACCTGATCACCGGCAAACACGGTCTGTTGGCTGACTTCTTCGATCGATAATCCTTTAACCGTTGCCAGCTCCCTGCTCGGACATACCAGCACGCGTTCGCCCAAGCACAAGGTGCCAGTTTCGACGCGTCCGGATACGCAAAAGTTCGATCCAGTACTCTGGTGAAAAACACAAGGTTCAGGTTCACAACGAATCCTTTACAGAAATTTACCTTAAAAACGTCATTGATCGAAAATCGAAACGGTTTCGCCACTGGCCGCTCTGGCGTTCTAAAGTTATCTACAAAAACCGCGTGAGTGTTCAACTAACAACGGAAGTCTCTTACCTATCACGTCGAGTAAGCACGGGCCGGAGTACCACTGCAACAGCTCGCTTTCCGTAGGCTTCCTGATCAAGTTTTGACCAGTGAGACCGCTGCACGGTACAAACGCAACGTCGCTCTCCTTGAAACCGGCGTGTTTGAGAAACACTTTAAGTTTTTGGACAATTTCGTTAAACCGCTCCTGCGACCACATGACCGTATCCAACTTGTTTATGGCGACGGCCAACTGCCCCACACCTAGGGAACGTACAAGTAGAGCGTGCTCGCGCGTCTGACCGCCGAAATCGAAACCGGTCTCGAACTCGCCTCGAGTTGCGTCGACGACTAGTAGGGCGACGTCCGCCTGACCTGCTCCCGAAATCATGTTCGGTATGAAATCCTTGTGACCGGGTGCATCTAATAAAGTTACCTGCGAAATAAATCTGCATTATCTGTTCAGTTGTGCTAACGTGTAGCTTTTTTCTATTGCTCTTCTAGTATAAAAACAGTCACGTCAATCATCGCAGTGGGCGGCTACCTGCGACTGTTTTTATACTAGACGACGTGTAGTGATTAGGAAGCACAATGAACTAAACCATGTGACCAATGACATTCTTGTTTCCGTACGTTTTTGCGCTTACCAATTTTGTCTCGGTTTCGAACTGCGAACGCCCCACGTCCATAGTAATACCACGATTCCTCTCCTCGCCAGTTTCGTCCAAAACCCACGCGTACATGAAACTCTGCTTTCCGACCTTTCGACTCTCTTGCTCGTACTTGTGCATAGTTTTTTGGTTTACCTGAAAATTTCGGCTTGACTCTCGAAATTCGCGACAAGTCGAGCGCTTACCTGGCCTAAAGCGCACAGCAGGTGTCCCATTAGCGTCGATTTGCCCGCATCGACGTGTCCTATTACTACCATGTACAGGTTTTCCTTGGCGCCTCCCCGTTCCTTTTTGTACTGCTCGTTCGCGTCCAACTTGCTGTCCTTCTGCTTCGCGCCTTTGGTTTCGTCATTTTGGTCCGGCGCGTTCACCGGCGTCACTCTTCCCGAAGCGGGCGATTGCGACCTGGGAGTTACGTTTAATCGTGTCACCTCTTTTTGGACCAAGTCAAAACCTTTCGTTACGTTCGTGGTTTTGGGTCCCGGCGTGACCACTTTAATATTGGACGAATCTACATCTTTTGGTATGGCTGCTGCTATTCAAAAACAAGGGAATTTCATTTTAACCAGAAACGTTTAAATAAATTAAGGGGCGGGGAATAGGTAACATTTTCGTGTGAAAAAATGGATTATTATGAAAACCTTGCCAAGATGAAGTGCCTAATAGACCCTTTTACTTAACCTCTCGATATTATCATAGTTGGTACCATTTGTACCTCTCGTTTCAGGGACCTCGCTGCACTCGGAAGAATGGTGACGGTCATTCTAGGAACCACAATGTAAGAGCTTTTTACAGAAAGGTGGTGGAACAGTGAGTTCAACGTTCCTTTACCCACCAACTTTCTGCGTCAATCTTTGAAGAGTTTGTGGATCAAATGTGACAAACCAATATACAGGGTGTCAAAAAAATTGCGTTTTTTTATTTTTTTCACCATAACCATAACGACACCATAACAAATATCATCAAGAAGGTCATTTAGGCCAATCATAGCGCGTAAAATTTCACTTTCACTTTCTTAGTTAAAAGCGAAGGAAATTTTTTTATACAAGTTTCTTTCAAGTTGTTTTCAACGGGCTCAAGTAATAAAGTTATCTGACCTAAGCTCATTTTTTAATGGAACACCCTGTATATTTTATTTTGAAAAGATAGCATTTAAAAATATAACACTATTCAATATTAATGGCATTAGTGCAGAAAGATTCAACAAATTATTAAAATTATCGATGAATTGCTCCATTATTATTAAAAATTCAAAAACCTTTTTGGTAATGTTTTGTATTTTCTTTAAATAATTTAAACCTTTTTTTAAAATTCCAACCCGTTTTTAACCTTGAATTTTTTGAATCGCAAATCATTTTGCATATATTTCTGGTGCGTTATATTTTTGAAACGTCAATGACAAACACACAGACTTTTTTTGGACGGAAAATGGAGTCGGGCAAGGATGTCTGCCAAGTGCAACCCTTTTCAACATTTATGTGGCCGACCTGGAAGAAGCATTAAGAAAATGGCAAGCAGGAGGAATAAAAATTGGAGAACAAAAGATATGGTCATTAACATACGCGGATGACATGGTGCTCCTTGCAACAAAGCAATCAGAAATGAAGGAAATGATCACACAGGTAGAAAGGTACGCAAGAAGAAAGAAATTCAAATAAACACAGAAAAATCAAAAATAATGGTTTTTACAAAAGGAAGAAAGAAGGATAAGGGCGAGACATCGTGGAAAATCGAAGGAAGAGAAATAGAAGAAATTTCGGAATTTAAATACCTTGGATCGAGGGGTGGCTCACTAAGGTATTATGGTGTACACTTGGCTGGTATTATAATACGTAGTACAGTACTCAATACTGTTTTTTAGTATTATTAGTAATACCGTTTATATTCTGTAATACAAGTACTATTGGTATTATGAAGGTATTATTATTATGTTGGTATTATTGGTATTATGTGGGTAATATTAATATTCATCCAAGTATTACGGGTATTTTTCTTATTAATTCCAATATTAAGTAGTGCTTCGAGATCGTACGTGTCTAATGCGCACATGCGTGTATAGCTTAGCAATCTCCGCAATTGCCCTCTGACGGCTGAGTTTCAACGTTCATGTCGCTGCGGAAGTCCCCCCAGTCCCCCCTCTTCAAAAATTCTAAATGGCAACCCCATACTTGTGACACATCGTTGGAAAGCTACTGAAAAATGCTTTCCAGTGATAATAATAATATTTAATAATAATATCTATTAGTATTTTAGTGCGGTTCTTGCGAAAGCACTAAAATAAACGTGAAAAGATTTACAATAAGCCAAATACGTTTTAAGCTAAGGTTTTACAAATTGATAGAATTCGTCCATATTATAAAACAATTTGATACCAATAATTCCTTTAAATTTTGTTTATAGTTTATTTTTTTCGAGGATGTATTAATAAAACGTGATAGCGAGTTAAAAATTTTAGTTGCATTGTAACAAAAGTTGTGGTACCAATAAAGTCAATATTCATTAAGACAAGTTAACAAAAATGTAATAATTAAGTAACAAATAAAAATAAAAATTAACCCATGCCTATGTTCAAGATTTGGTTGCTAAATTGGAAGAAACTGGATTTGTTTTCACTAAAAAAAGAAAGCAACCAAGATTGCTTAATGAAGACATCGACTGATGTTAGTGAAAACCGTGAAAACATTAAGTATAATAATTTATAATAATATTTACTATAATAATAATTATAGAAAAACAGTGAAAATGATAATGTGTTCTACACAAATTATTACCCAACATAGTAGGTATTATTCGGTATTAATGGTATTACTGACAGTATCTTCGATATTATCCAGTATTATTGATATTATCTGGTATTAAACCAAGTATTATTAGTATTATTTGGAGTTATTTTATATTATCAGGTAGGTATTATTGGTATTATCTGGTATTCTTGAGTAATCTTTAGTATTATGGTATTATAGACAAAATAATACCGTTTTTGTATTATGGTGTACACAATTTGAGCTTGTGAGCCACCCCTCGCCTTGGATACACACTAATGAAAAACGGAGGACCAAGTGCTCACACAAGACAAATGAAGAAAAAAGCAAATGGATTAATACCGCAGATATGGAGCATAGCAGAAAGAGAATTCAAAAACAACTATAGAATCAAGAAAATGATGTTCGACTACCTGATCAAAAGCACAGTGGGACAGAAATATGGGGGTGGAAGGAGATAGAGGACATTGAGAGAGGAAGTAAATATACCAATGAATAAGAAGGAGAGAGACAAAGATAACCAATTACAATACCAAATCAATGAAATAGAAAATAGCACCTACAATTATACCACGTACAAAGAAATAAAAACATTACACTTGCCAAAATATCTACAGAAGAACAAAAATATAAAAACTATTGCAAGATTTAGATGCGGAAATGAAAACAGGACCGGGAAAAGGTGGAAGGAAGAAAAGTGCAGACTATGTAAGGAAGAAACGGAGACGATAGAACACGTGATATACCTACAGATGCAGCAAAGCCAGGACAAGCAAAACAGTAAAGGAAATATTATAGGAAGATGGAAGAGGAATCGACTGGATCGGAAGGACGTTGTAGAGCAGAGAGGAAGCGAAAAGAGAGGAAGCGAAAAGAGAGGAATAAGAATAAACATTATGTAGCTATTTCGGATGTTGTACTACTTAGTATCATATATATGCTATTGTAACTAGGGTTAATAAATAAATTGAAAAAATTGTAATTGTGAATTGTAATCTGATGAATTAGGATTTAATTTGTGAATTAATTCCTTATTAATATTGTGTCACTTTTTTCAAAACCTCTACAACTGTAAATCTATTATGCATGCAAATAGAACTACGAAATTTCACCATTTTCTATAACGATGTGCTAACTACACCGCTTCCGAAAAGTCTTGAACTTACACTAGTCCGGGAAATAGAGACTGAAAATGGACCATGTCCTGCACAACGAGAAGTAGTTCCAATTTTTTTTGCATGTCATGGAAGAATATCTGGGGGTTAAGAATCCAAGTTTTCGACCTTCCACCCCTTGTGCTTCCCCCGTACCACCCTTAAAACCAAAGAAATTTGGTTGGTTTTTTAGTTTTTCAATCATATCTTTGTATAACTTCACTTTACAAGAAAATATTGTTATCAGAAATTGTAGATAGTAGTTAAACAAGGAGAGTTCTGGCACAATGTAAATCTCCATAAGCGCAATGCTAAAGTATGGGTTCATTTCAGTGACAAAAACTCACTTTTTGGATCGGTCTTGAT